CTTTCTTTCAAAATTCAACATATGTCGAAGCAACGTTTGCCTATCTTAGCTGACTTTTTAGAATGCGACGTACGAGCTACTAACAACTCTCCTAGTATATGCAATCAATGTTAGACCGATATATTACTAATTCTATGGGCCACGATGACTTCATGATAAGACATTCTAAAAACTAAATGCCCTCAGGCTGACGCAATAGCGTTGATCTCAATTGAAGCTGATTGCTTATTGAAGCTGATCTTGATTATCATAAGAAGTATAAATAGATGTAAAATTTCGAGAAGTTTTCAAGATTTTATTTTATCAGAGATGCTTTGTCTCGTCGTCTCGGTATTGTCCCGAAATTCTCACATAGCGCCGAAAATTGTCCCGATTTCTATCATTAATCGAGATAAGGTTCTTGTCTCGTCTCGAATACAAATAAATAAATATAAAAACCTATTTTAAAAACCACGTTTTTCTAGTGTTTACAAAACTAAAAAAAATGAAATAAAACAAATGAAAAAACTTGAAAAAAACACGTTTTCTTGACTGACAAAAAATAAAAACAATAACTCTTACATAGCATTAAAGTTATGTAGAATGTTATGTAATGTTATGTAAGAGTTAATGTTTTTTGTCCGTCAAGAAAACGTGGTTTTTAAAAGTTTTTATTTGTTTTATTTCATTGTTTTTAGTTTTGTAAACACCAGAAAAACGTGTTTTTTTAAAAAAAGGTTTTTTATATATATTTATTTTCTACTTTTTAGTTTAGCGATTTTAGCACTTCAAATCATTCTCCAGGGTTGGCAACTCTGGATGTTCGACAAGAAAACTCAATTCCCAACCGTGAATTTTCAGGTTTTTTTTTAATTAAAAAATTGTAAAAAAAACTTCAACTATTACTTCTGATAATCAAATCTTGAATTGTTAGGCAGCATAAGCATGCATGCCAAATTCCAAGTTTTTAGGATCATCAGAAGTGCTCTAAATTAAGGTGTGAATTTTTGATGACCTAGACAGACACGAAGCGAAACTAAGAAAAAACGTGGTAAAGAGTACCAAGCGCACGAGTCTATCATTTACTTTGTCCTCTCCATCAACATCAACGCTCAATCTCCGCAGTTTCAGAACACGTGTGTTGCGCAGTGAAAATAAAATGAAAATGGCATTTTATAGAACGCTGGCCGTGTTCATATTCTGCAACATCAATATTTAACCCCATAAATAGCTATAAAGACCCCTAGAATATTTGACACATTATGAAGAAAATAATCATCTGCACTTTCTTCTTAAATACAAAGTTGCGCTTTTGTAATGTATAATGAAGTACTATGAAAATTTCCCACCACTGACTATCAGACCGCAAAGGTTAAGCAGGACCAGCTCTGACGTGGGCGGTAAATTGGTTTAGGCCGTCAGGTGAGCTGCTGATCCGGACTTGCGTACTGGTTCCTCTTATAGGATCTTGACTCAGACGCCAGGGTGAGTTGCGTGCGATAGTGGTGAAATTTGATTACTTAGTGAAATATCGTGATTATTGTGAATATTAGGATTTGTCATGTGTAGGTATTTACTTTTGCTTTCTGTTGTAGGATCGTGCGTTTTTTCTCAAAACTCCGTGCTCTAGCTCTCTCCCCGCAATTTAGCTCTCTCCGCGCATTCGACTTGAATTAGCTCTCGTGTTCGATTTTTTAATTCTTTGAGGGAGACGTTTTGTTGATTTGTTAAACCCGTTGTATTTGAATTGCAGTAATTAATTGTTTGTCTAGAATAAATTTAATTAGGCTTGTTTTGAGTTTCCAGTCCGTCCAGTCCAAGCTATTGCTAGTCAAGCCAATAGGGAAGTATCTTTAAATTTCCGGTCATTGGTGGGCGTGACAATTAAGACCATCCGAACTTTTAAGGTCACGCAATTAGTTACTCGGAAAGTCAAGGCTAGTTCGTTACATAATGGCTGCAACCAATATTGATAATAATTGGTCTCTTTGAATATCAATTAAATTTACATCATAATTTTACCCTACCGAATAATTTATAATACAGTTTCATTTATTTTGGCACATTTATTTGCAAGTTTTCAGGACGAATCAAAATCACTGTAGACATACATACCACTAAATAAAATTAATAAATGGCAGTGAATACTCGACAGTTGAACAGGAAAGAACATTAATCTGGAGAATATTAATCATGCAGAAATAAAACTTAGCCTGTTCCATTATAGCTGTTATTTGCTGTGTAATTACCAGTCATTTGTCAAATCATAAGTCTTTAGCCTACCGACATGAGCAAACGTGTGAGCAAACGTATTTACTGTGTGATTATCAGTCATTCGTCAAATCATTAATCATTTGCCTGCCGACATGAGCAAACGTGTGAGCAGGCGTATTTACTGTGTGATTATCAGTCATTTGTCAAATCATAAATCATTTGCCTGCCGTAGATGGCGCCAAGATGTGATCTCAACTTTCGACTGTGGCGCCACCTCGCGCTTAAATTTAACAAAGAAGTTATTGTCACGTTATGCCAAATAACGCGAAATGGACTGCAAGAAACCACAGCTATCTGACTGTTTTTCACCGTTTTTTCTAACAGTGTAGAAGGCACCGATGGCACATATAAAGCCATGTTGCCTTCTTTAGTTCTGTAATTCATGTCCGATTGAATTGTGATCTATGAATGAATATTCATTACTGTGCTGATTCTTACAACCTGAGTCCTGAGTTGATGCGTTAGCAATCTAGTTAACTCATATCCAACCACAACACAATGCGGATACATGTTTGTGTGTACGGTCATTGTGATTACGTAATTTGCGTTGCCGCGCGTCCATATTTAAACTATTTTAGCTTTCTAAAAGTACGGCGTACGGCACAATTTTTTACCAGCATAGCACGGCGCACTGCACAGGTCGTTAAAATGACAATATAAATTTCCGCGCACCTGGCACATCTTCCTGACCATGTTATAATGTGAGGAATCAATAAGAGGAGATCCAGAAATGCAATGAAGAGTCAACAGGAAGTTCGGTGAAAAGCCTGCCTTTGGCAACCAATCAAGCTAGCAGCGGCCGGCTAGCTGGCAAGTATTTTATTGATTCCATTCATATATGAGAATGGAAATGTAACTTCTATTTGAGAATCTGTTCTTGAATACACTTGTGAAAACTTAACTTCTATAGTCAATAGAGTCAAAAGGGGTGGGCCAGTTGAAATCAAAGGCTCCAGTTTCAAGTCTGTAGGAGCCTAAGTTTCTGCCTAAAAATATTAAAAATTTATGTTCCTGCATGGATTTCACTGCTGTTAACATTGAGAAACTTTGATGTATCTCTCANCTTAAAATGTCAAAGTGTACAAAGTGGGGCTAACCTTTTGCGTCGGTGCAAAAACATGTGTTTTTCATTTTCTCCGTTACTAATTACATTTTCACTACAGTCTATTGTATTTTGATTACTGTGACCAAGACGATTCGTTTGCCACCATTTGCACAATAAAATTCGCAAAATTCGATGTGTTATGATGTTTTAAAGGGGTGGGGCTAACCTTTTGCGTCGGGCTGTAGAGTCAGAAGGGGTGGGCCAGTTGAAATCAAAAGCCCCAGTTTCAAGTCTGTAGGAGCCTAAATTTCTGTCTAAAAATATTGAAAATTTAAGTTTCTGCATGGATTTCACTGCTGTTAACATTGAGAAACTTTAATGTATCTCTCATGCAAGAGATACTTGCACTAAAAAAATTTTAAGATGGATAAAAATGTCTCTCCAAAACTGAGCGATCCAAGTTGGATCGCTTGGATCACTCAGTTATCAAGTGACATTTATATCTCAATTAAAATTTATTTAGCAAATATTTCTTGCATGAGAGATACCTACTTTGAAGTTTCTCAATGTTAACAGCATTAAAATCCATGCAGAAACATGAATTTTTTATATTTATTCAGCTGAAATTCAGGCTCCTAAGTATTTGAAGCTGAGGCTTTTAATTTCAAATTCGAACAAGCAAGCTGGCACAGCTTGCTGCCCATTTTGACCAAAGCAATCCATTTTAATGGAGTGTTCATTGGGGACAAAAGTACCTTTAATTATTCATTGCTAATTTTGTGCAATAGGCACATGTTCAGGCTAAAATTTTTCATAAATGTTTTATCCCCATATTTCCATGCTTTGCTACCAGTGAAATTCATCACTTGGAATGATAATTTTCAAGTAAAACATATAAAATCGCTACGTGAATTCTCCATTATGATTCTGTCTAAACGATGTTTTTGGTAAAAAGTTTTCTATGAACCACAGACAGGAGAAAAAAATTAAATGAAAAGTAATGTTCATTCTACTAAAAGTAGAATGAAATTAGTAATATAGAATGAATTTTATATGTTGAAATTCGATAATAATAATAAATATTGATTATTCAATTTTATAGGAGGAAGGAAGGCTGTGAAAGAAGGAAGTGAACAAGGCTGTGAAAGAAAAATAAAGCTTTGGAAGTGAACTGAATTAACTGTGTTAGAATTGAATATAAGGAAGTACTCAACTTGCCCAACAACAGTACGTATTGCATGAAGATTCCTCGTCGTCTTCATCATAATCCTGGGAGGCGGAATAAGGACCTTGAAGCTCAAGATCTCTAACCATTGAAGAGTGGAACTTGGTGCAATACTAGCCATGACAGTATCAGTTACAGATTTGACTAATGGGAATCATTTATTACATCTATTCTAAAACTATCTTGGATACAGAAATACGGTAAGCGTAATAACTTGATTAATAACAGAAAGCTGCAATGGAAAAAGAGCAATAACTTCATGCCTACAGCATCAACTTTGTTTTTGTTGGCCACTAATTATATTTTTTTATTTGGCTGGCAAAGATCTTCAAAACCTCCTTGGTCAGTAAATTTTCTTAGGCAGCTACCTATCCAGGTAAATAATTTTATAATTTATTTTTCAATAAAACATTCTGATGAATTTGAAATCTATAATTAGTTACCATGTAATGTCAATAATGTTTCCTTTTGTTACAGGGACAACTTTTTAACTTCATCCACTTCAATTGCTAGTCAGAGGACAGAATTAATTTTCTATAATATTTAATCATGGCTTGTAATATTTTAAAATGTGTTGTTCTTTTGCATAAACTCACTGAAGCTGACATTAGTAGAGGCTGGTGTGATGAACCCCATCTTGCTCAAAAGTCATCCACGCAAAACCTTGCTAAAATGTCCAAGCAAAGTCTCACTCAATTGTCTAAAAAGAGAATTCAAGCTAAAGCATCTGCTGAGCGGAGTTTCCGTCAAATCTCCACTAGAGCATCTACTGACAAAAGTGTAACTAAAGGGTCTGCTAAGGGAAGCCTCACTCGAGTGTCTACCAGAGGGAGTTTAACTGTTTCATCTGCTGGACCTAGCTTCTCTCAAGTGTCTGCTAAGCAGAATTTGTCCCAAGTGTCTGCTAAGAAAAATCTTCCTCAAGTGTCTGCTAAGAAAAATCTTCCTCAGGTTTCTGCTAAGAAAAATCTTCAAGTGTCTGCTAAGAAAAATCTTTCTCAGGTGTCTGCTAAGAAAAATCTTCCTCAAGTGTCTGCTAAGAAAAATCTTTCTCAGGTGTCTGCTAAGAAAAATCTTCCTCAAGTGTCTGCTAAGAAAAATCTTTCTCGAGTGTCTGCTAGGAAAAATCTTTCTCGAGTGTCTGCTAGGAAAAATCTTTCTCAAGTGTCAGTGGAGCAAAACCTTTCTCAAGTGTCTGTGGAGCAAAATCTTTCTCAAGTGTCTGTGGAGCAAAATCTTTCTCAAGTGTCTGTGGAGCAAAATCTTTCTCAAGTGTCAGTGGAGCAAAATCTTTCTCAAGTGTCTGCAGAGCAAAACCTCACTAATTCATCTGCTGGTGCTGTCAGAGTGAAGTCTGAAGGTGAGCCAAATGCCAACTTGCTCTCAATTTTCATGATTTATTGTATAGTGTTTTCAGCATAAATATTTAGGTGTGTAGAGACTAGCAAATTGTTTATTTAATTTCTTTTGCCATTTCAATACAGTAAATTAATCCAGAGAAGGAGATTTATTTGACACAGATGCCATTACTATTCTATCCTGTTCTCATTTGCTTATTGGGGTACATTTGTATAATACCACTGGATAAATGAATAGCATAATGTATTACTGCTTAATGTATGGTTCAATATTTCTCTGTGCAGTTATTGAAGCTGGTGTTCCATGCCCAGACTTCAATTTTCCAGTTGAACACATCAAAGAGGAACTCAAGTTTGAGATTGAAGAAAGAGTTTTGTTTGATGAACCAATGTTTGACGATGAATGTCCCATGTTTGAAGATGACTTTCAGTTGGTGAGTAAGCCTGCCATTAACACCAGTTATTAAGTAATCCTATAAAACTTTTGCACCTGCACTGTTTGAAAAAACGGTCCCACTGGCATTCTAGTGGCCGGTCGCACCGTGAAAATAAACTGTTTTGCCATTTTTATCAGATTTTTTATGGATTTCTAGTGTTTAATTAGAATAAAAACAGCAACTCAGTGTTTCTTTTCACGTGCCGACCGGCCACTGAAACGCTGGTAATATCGTTAACAGTAATTTTTCTAACAGTGTGAGAAATGCACTATATCTATTTGGAATGAAATGAAAAACTTTGCCTATAAAATGAGTGCATCAGGCTTTAATGATTTTCGAGGATAAGAAAATAGCGGAAATTTTATTTTATTTTTTCATGCAAAAATTTGTTGCTATATTCAATATTGCAAATCCTTGTTAATATCCAATAAATTTCAGTATTGCTAGTAACATAATAATGTGAAACTTCAATGTATAGTTATTTGTTATTGAAATGAAACTGTTTCTGTTTTGTAAGGCTGATTTTCATGCAAAAACTTGTTGCTATATTCAATATTGCAAGCATCCTATATAATATTCAATAAATTTCATTATTTCTTGTAACACAATAATGTGCCACTTCAAAGTATAATGATTTGTTATTGAAATGAAAAATGTTTCTGTTTTGTAAGGACGATTCAGAGGAACTTCCTGACATTTGTGGTGATGGCCAGCAGACCCCACCACCTTCATCTGATGTGCCATGCCAGACCAGACCTCAAGTTGACCAGCAGACCCCACCTCCTTCATCTGATGTGCCGTGCCAGACCAGACCTCAAGTTGACCATCAGACCCCACCTCCTTCATCTGATCTGCCGTGCCAGACCAGACCTCAATTTGAAGCCCATGATGCCCAGCCAGACCCTCAAGAGTCTTCTCTTGAGGCTGAAGAAATGGATAAAGAGGTAGGTTTGTTATTTAGCTTTTATGCAAACTAAATATGTAGGGATAATATTATTTTAGGTATATTTTTGTTTATTCTGATCAATTGTTGATCATCCTGTATTATAGATGCATTCATTTTCTTAAGCATTAAAGAACTCGGCAGGTTTGATTAGAGAGTACCGGGATTACAAATGTTAATTAGCGGGTATATATAATTTGGGAGGGGAGAATGTGAATAACAAGATATAGGGCAAAGCTCTTGTTCTGGTTCATGGGAGGAAAACTCCGGGCTTGTTTAGGGTAAAAAACGAATCTAGTTATTTAAACCTGATCAGGTGTAAAAGATTTTTTGTCTCATGGTTGCAGGATTTATCGAATATATTCAATGAAAAGCCCAAGGTACCTCTTACATGACATTCCCTGTAAGTGTAAAACCCCAAAACAGAGCCTAATTTCTAAAGATACCATAAAATGGGGTAACTTAGACTACTTTTTTTTAAATGATGCCATTTTTTTACTGGCTAAATTAAACTTGAATTGAATCATGCAAAATACAGGTCTATAATCTAGGTTCACTCACCGTAAATCGCCGGCTCCTGCCGCTCATAGTTTTTATGTAATTTCAAAAAAAGTGATGGTCTTTGTTACCCCAGCTCTTGGGGGTATCTTAGACTGGGTGGTAAAATCAATTATATTTTTTGGTAAAATAACTTCAAATAACTCCAGGTTTTGGTGCATTGTAGTAAAACTCTTCTAGTTACATATGCAATAGTTACATATGCAAATGACAAATTTGAGGAAAGTGCCATAGTTTGCAAATGGGAGGCACCGCCCCCGAATGGGGGAACTTAGACCACCTAATGACAGCCGTGAAGGGGTAACATTGACCGGCTTGGAAATTAAGTTAAAATTACCATATATGACTCTGTAGAGTCTGAAACATAAAGATAAAACATTAATAGGTGTATCAAACATGAAATATGTTACATACGGTAATTTTAAATTTCCAAGCCGGTCTATTTTACCCCATCACGGCTGACATTAGGTGGTCTAAGTTCCCCCATTCAGGCGTGGCGCCCCTCATTTGCAAACTATGACACTTTCCTCAAATTTGTCATTTGCATATGTAACTAGAAGAGTTTTACTACAATGCACCAAATCCTGGAGTTATTTCAACAAAAAATGAAAAAATTGGAGCGGGTTCTGACAGGCTTTAAATGATAGCCCTTTTTTGTGGGTCACATTTTTCATTTTTTAACCTATTAGATATGCATAATTTTTTATCTTTATTGTTTTACGTAGCCTCAGTATTGGGCCTTTAATGCCCATTAACAAAATTTTTCTATGTCAAATAGTTTTTGAGTTTTGGGGGTTTTTGTTAAAAAAACTAATAGTGGTCTAAGTTACCCCGGGAGTCTAAGTTACCCCATTTTAGGGTATGCTAATAGTGTTTCCCAAATTATGTATGATACCATAAGTCTTAGGACTAAACAAGCTGACAGGCTAGGTTTAGGATGTGTCATGGCGCAGTTCACAATGGCATGTGTAAGTTAACGCTGGTAACAAGCATGGTTATTCCTTAACTGACTTTTACTTGAAGGTAACTGTTGTTTCAATGCTGCTTTGTATCAAAATGTGTCAGTTTCTTGTGCAACTTGTGCAGGGGTAATTAAGGGAGAAGTGGTACCGTAGTGCAAATTTTCTGTTATAATTTTGGTTGAGTCGTAAAAATTGTTTTCCGGAACTTTGTGCTGGGCATGATGTTTTAGCAGTGTATACTAGAGTTACCTATCTCTTGAATTAATGATTGAGCTATAATTGTTCTTGAGTGTTGTGCAGCAACAAAAAGTTTGCTTATGTCACACAATTGCTTTATACTTTAATGTCTACATAAAGTAATTTAAATAAATTGTTACTGTAGATCGTGAATCATAGTTTCATGCCTTGACCTGAAGAGCATCAATCGTCAGAAACCATTTATAAACCAAAGAAACAAGTTTAGTGTTTGCTATCAATCATGTCTGTCTCAAAAGCCGGATATATTTATCAAAAGGCACCAATTTGAAGTTATGAAACCACCTAACATTTTAATAAACCTTATCATTAAAAGGATTTAATTTTATAATTACATTTTAATGAACCTTATCTTTAAAATGGTTTAATTTTTTAATTACATTTTAATGAACCTTATCTTTAAAATGATTCAATTTTGTAATTACATTTTAATGAACCTTATCATTAAAAGGATTTAATTTTGTAATTACATTTTAATGAACCTTATCATTAAAAGGATTTAATTTTATAATTACATTTTAATGAACCTTATCTTTATCAAATATTACTGTATTGACAGGATTGTCCGCAAGAACTTCCCAGCCCAAGTTGTGGTGGTCAACCGTCTCCCTCATCCTGCGTGTCACCTCAATCTGAGCTTCAGACCGAGGCCTCTGATGCCCACAACGAAGACCAAGGCTCTATAACCACAAGTGATGTAAATGAAAAGCAGGTATGTTGAATTTTCCTGTAGGAATTTTTGGTAAATGTTAATAATGTAGTATTGTTGGCTCTGAAAAATTGGTTTGGTGTGGCCTGTAAATGTTCATATTTTCTTTGGTTTTATTTTCCACACACAGCATGAAAAAATTTCATTGTAGTGCCATTGATAAATTCTTTGGCAAAAGCAGGTATGTTATATTTTCCTTTAGAAATGTTTTTAATTTCTATTCAATTAATTGTAATTTTTTTAATTTAATTTTAATTTCAATTCTATTTCCTACGGACCTTTAATTGAATTCCTACCGAAATAAAATATTCCTACCGACCTTTAAATTATATGATATCAGTGACTGTTAATAACATGTTATTAATAGTCGCTGAAAGTTATTGGTCAGCATTGAAAAATTGGTTTGGTGTGGCCTGTAAATGTTCGTATATTCTTTGGTTTTATTTTCCACACACAGCATGAAAAATTTTGATTGTACTGCGATTCATAAATTCTTTAACGCCGGTACTTCTTTTGATAGGCCAAACAATGCTGGAATGGAATATGATTGATATTTTCTGATTACAATTTGAGCTCACATTCACAAAGTGACTATGAGTACAAAATTTTGTACCAATTATTTTTATTTGTAAGTATTGAAATACTTAAATAAATTTTTTGCATGGCAGCAGTCCAGCGGTGGTGTGTTGTCTACAGCAGCTGCTATCAGTGGAGATAAGCTTGCACCATCAAGGCCCAAGAAGCGACCCTACAAGAAACGTAATCGACGTAGTGAGAAGAAATACTACTGCAATGATTGTGATTATGTGTGCACAAAGAAAGATTCTATTAGGCATCATATTCTGTATAAACATACATCAGAGAGACCATTTAAGTGTCCCGAGTGTAGTTATGCTTGTACTATACAGACAATTCTAACCCGACATATTCGTTTACAACATTCGTCAGAGAAACCCTTCAAATGTTCTCAATGTGATTATGCCTGCGTTAGAAAAACTAAGCTCGATCTGCATGTCCTTTCTAAACATTCAAAGGAGAAGCCTATACATTGTTCCCAGTGCACATATAGATGTGTTTCACGAGGAAGCTTATCTCGACATATCGCTGCTAAACACTCGCTGCAAGAACCTCTACGTTGCCCTGAGTGCGAATTTACTTCCTTTAGACCCGAATGCATTAAACAGCACATGCGTTATAAGCATTCAACAGAAAGAAATTTTCGCTGTTCCGAGTGTGAATATGCTGGTATTAATAAGCGAGCTCTCGATGGACATATTATTTCTGCACATGGAGGAGAGACACCATTTCACTGTCCTCATTGTAGTTACGGCTGCTTAACAGAGTTTGCTCTAAACAAACATATTGCTGTTAGACATTCTTCAGAGAGGCCCTTTAAATGTGCTCAGTGTACGTACAGTTGCACTACGCAGGACCGGCTCAGGCTACATAAGCTTGCAATGCATACTTTAGAAAAGCCTTTTAAATGTCCTCATTGTGAATATGCTTGTGTAAGAGGGTTTGTTTTACGTACACATATTCTTGCCAAGCATTCCACTGAACAACCTTTTCGCTGTTCTCTATGTGATTATTCTGCCTCTATAAAATACCAATTAAAGATGCACATTCTTTCTAGACATACATCTGAGAAACCTTTTAAATGCCCAAAGTGTGAGTACAGTTGTATCAAGGGATATATACTAAAATCACATATGCTGGGTAAACATTCTTCTGTAAGAAATTTCCAGTGCACCGAGTGCACATATGCTTTCGTATCTAAAAGTAAGCTGAAGCGTCACATTCTCGCTAGGCATACGCCTAAGGAACCTTTAAAGTGTTCCGAGTGCGAATTTTCTTCCCTCAAAGAAGTATCTCTGAAACAGCATATTAAATATAAACATTCAGCAAAGAAAACACCTAATCGCTCTCGGAGTGGAAATTCTTCCGTCACACAATGTAATCTTGATCGCAATATTGTTACTAAGCATCCAGCAGAGGAAGCTGCCACTACTGAGTCTGAGCAAGCTTGAATGTTGAGGTTGGTTTCTTTATTCTTTATTCACAAAGGAGTACACAAAAAATATAACTCAGTACTCACTGCAGTGAGTGACAGAGAGCGCATTTTCTCGTCGACGAAAACTTGAGGTCACGGACAGACGGACGGACGGACAGACAGACGGACATGGCAAGCACAATAGCATTTTTTCCATAAATGAGAAAATGCGCTAAAAAGAACGTAACAAGAGACCAATTGGTGAGTGTCGATTCTGATGAATATATCTTCCCTGTCTCGGTATCGGTTTACTAGTGAACATACCCGAACTATGCAAAAATTGTGATTGAATATCAAAGTTAAAAAAAATCAGTTTTGGCAATAGATTTTTTCAAATATTTTATTCACATATAAAGAGTGTGTTGTGTCTCAGACTTCGGTGAATCTTCTGTGTTGAGGGAATAAAGACTTAGTGGTTAATAATGTAATTTTCATGTAATAATCTGCTGCTGCTGAAACCCTGAGTTTGTGTTTGTTATTAAGTATATTTATACATTAATAAGTATATTAAGTATATTTATAACTTAATTTAGATCTTTCTTTGCATTACTTCCTTCAGCATTCCTATTGTTTACGAATAATCTTCCCTTTCGAATTAGATGTTCTGCAATTGATTATTCAATGTATGTAATTAATGTTATTGTAACAATTATTTCCAGGTATGATTTATTGCATACATATTTCATAATTTTAGTGATTAAGAAAATAATTAATTAGTGTTATATTTAGTTATCCTGATGTATCATTATACGTTCGTTATTTAAAAACTGTCATGATAATTGTGTGTAGTTGTGGTATTTATAAAATTATTTAATATTTATGCTCGATTAATATTCTGACTGTTGCTTACTAATTACTCCAAGATAGTGCTTGTGTTAGTGCTAAACTACCTCACTTAATAGTGTTTTGTGTGAGTAATTGATTGACTTTTGTAATAAATAGTGTTTAGTGTAATTGATTGACTTTCTTAATAAATAGTGTTTAGTGTGAGTAATTGATTGACTTTCTTAATAAATAGTATTTAGTATAATTGATTGACTTTTGTAATAAATAGTGTTTAGTGTAATTGATTGACTTTTGTAATAAATAGTGTTTAGTGTAATTGATTGACTTTTGTAATAGTGTTTAGTGTAATTGATTGACTTTTGTAATAAATAGTGTTTAGTGTAATTGATTGGCTTTCTTAATAAATAGTGTTTAGTGTGAATAATTGATTGACTTTCGTAATAGTGTTTTGTGTAAGCAATTGATTGACATTATTTATAAAATTAGTTTTTTGTGTTTGTAGTTGATTGGCTTTCTTAATAGTGTTTTGTGTAATTGATTGACTTTTTAATAAATAGTGTTTTGTGTTTGTAATTGATTGATTTTCTCGATAAATTGTGTCTTGTGTGAGTCATTGGTTGACTTTAATAATATTAATAATATATACCTAGTGTTTTGTGTGGGTTATGGATTTTCTTGATAAATAGTTTTTAGTTTGAGTGATTAATTAGTTCGCATTACTTTTCTAGTGAAGAAACATTCCAGTTAGCTTCATATTAAGCTTCGATTTAAGTCCTATTGCGCCCTGTAACTAAGCTAGCATTTCAATACGAGGTTTTCAACAGCAAAAAAAAAACATTACCTATTATGAATTATAATGCTTGAATATTGTGATAAACTTTCCTAGCCCTAATTTCATTAACATATTATCACAAATTTAAACCTCATTAGTTTTTGCAAATTGTCTTTCCTTGAGAAATTGTTGCAATTGTCGGTGTGCAGTAATTTCGGTTGCCTCAATATACGAAGTTAACAAGAGTCGTCTTTTATTTTTTGCTCCCGGGAAAATCCTTTTAACAACCGATTTTGTTAGCTCTGAATTCAGCTTACTGTCCGATGTTACTTCAAAACTTGAGCTCATAATCACAAGCCAGGCCAATCAACTCAGAAACCTCCAACTGTCCTGAATGGATGCACTGAAAAACTATTATGGATCTCTTGGTAAACAATGTTAACAATGTGTATTAGCTATTTCTTTATCCGCGATAGAAAGTTCTTGACGGTGGATTGCAGGTTTCGAACAGCGATGGTCTCACTGAATACCACCGAAACTAATTTCTAAGTTAAGCCTTGGTCGGGTTCGTTTCACTTAAGGTACCTGCCGAGAACATCATATAACATCAACAATGTGATGAACATGAAACAAGTAGCGGAAGGAAGTTAATCGAATTTAGGTTATTAATCAAATAGATAAATAGTTGCTATAATCTCATTAACGTGTTCGCCCTCTGACAAAAGGCAGGGTGGCCCAGTGGTTCACAGTACCAAGAGAGGCGCGGGTTCGATCCAAGCTCTGTGCGCCAGTTTCTGGTCAGAACTAGGAGGCCGGGCGGTTAAGCACAGCAGAAATTGTAGCAGTGATTTGTGAGTTCGAGACCGCAAAAAGCTGTGAATGTTCTGCGATGTCAAGAATCGGTGACAGGCCTACGGCCTACTAAACGCTGAAACCGCTATTGTTATTATTATAGAAGAGTTCGTGGCTCTTCCATTATCCGTTGGTGCACACCACGATGTCTTCAAAGACAGAGGCGGAAATTCGGACTCTTGTCCAGCACAATCATGAGCTCCTCAACCCTTAAAATAATTTGAAACAATAACATGTCACTTACTGAGTAGGAAGAAGCATGCCGACGTCGCTAATTCAAACAAATCTAATAATACTGGGCTATTATATTGAAGATTAAGAACAATCTAAATGGATCCACTGAACATTTGAACGCATATGAAATCTAAATGCATATGCGTGTCCTTAATCTCCCTGCATAGCCGTAACATCAATGCTGCATCAAAGCACAAAGCATTCAGATGTGTACACTGTACACTGTACTATCTTGATAGAGCATTATTCATAAGCTTGAGTCGTGAGCTGTAATTAATTATTCACACGAATCACGAATTCACACGAGTACACGAACCACTAAAATAAGGTAACAGAAGACATGAAGCTTCCTAGTGCAATATATAAGCCAATAAGTTTTGCATGGGTTAAAGGGTAATATTTAAATATATATCAAGAACAGCGATGCAAACTTGGTTAAAAACTGGATAAAGCTTTATACAACCTATCACTATAAGAAAATCTACATCAAATTCAAATTATTATTGTTCAAAAAACAATAACGAAATTTTGCTTCATTCTTAAATGTTTTACACATTAAAAATCTGTACATTTTTTTCGCTTTCAAGACGAATTGACAACAAATTATTTAGCGTTCGCCCGTGGTACTGTGGGATGATAATAATATATTAAAGCATTTTCGGCGTTTAATAGGTCGTAATTCTGTCGCCGATTCTTAACATCGCAAAGCATTCACTGCTAGTTGCGGTCTCGAACACACAACTCACTGTTCCGATTTTGCAGGGGCCATACTTTCAAAACTCGCTAAGTGAACGTAAGTACCTACGCTCTATTTTCTTGTCTATGATTTGTGGATTTTGCTTGAAAGGCCGTCAACGAGTGGCTGATGAACTTACGATCTCTTGACTTTTTTTGAAAGTATAGGCCCTGGGCTTTAACCGCCCGGCCTCCTCACCGTATCTGACCAGGAACTTGCGCACAGAGCTGGGATCGAACCCGCACCTCTCTGCTCCATTCCTGGTACTCTGAACTGCAACGACTGGGCCACCTTGCCCGAAATGAAAAAAATTATAGCGGTCAATATCGATTAAATAAAAAAAGGAATGATTTAATATGCGTTAAAAAGATTTATGTAAATATTTATTATGCGTTAGTACGTGTAAAGGGAGTATTCTTGCAATTTTATCAAACCCCAAATATCGACCGTAATGATTCATTATTGAGCGAGAAGACACGATTCCCTACATGAAATATACAATTGCATGCAAGACGAATCTTTAATGGCAGAACTCAGGAGTCCATGGCCGAATTTATGACTTTAACTTTAACTCAATAATACGGAAATTATAGAATAGACTAGAATTGTCGGCAAAGAAGAAATTGGCCCATGGAGTGATCCGGCCTTCTGAACCCGATCTTTCCATAACAGACGATTGATTGAGATAGCTGCTGGACTTATTGCCTCGTAAGTTGCTAGGCATTTCAAGACTGAACGTCTTGAAATGACTGAACGTCTTGACTGAACGTCTCCTGCATAGCTACGTCTTGTCTGTTCTAGAAAGATTTCATACTCGGAGCGTCAACGATGCTGTCAGTGACGCTGTTCCACATGTCGGTGACTCGAAGCGAGAAGACCGACTATCTGCAGGGAATTTACTAGAGCAGGTTATGAATTGCAAGTATGTCTGTGAAATTTTCGGAGAGGCGACCGGAATATAACGTTCCATTAATACGCTTGTGAAAAATATTCTTCTATAGTCAATGGAGTGCGTGTTCAAAATGACAAAATAGTTGAATTTAAAATATTTATCTATAAGAGCAGGATCATTAAATTAATTGCAAGAAAAAATTTTTCAGAATAATTTAAAAGCAAAATGATATTTAAACATTTCATCAGAAGTTGTGCAAATGTTAATTAATTTTAATTGAATAAACCATTAACACTATGTAAAAACCATCATTTCAGTTCATTATGACTGCAAACAAAGAGTTCGCCGATGAGGCTTCTTGAATCGGCTCTTCTCACTTAGTTATTAATTATTTTCCCCAATATTAGTGATAAAATTACCGAATAATTATTTGAGTATAAAACACTTGGCACCAGCGTATTGAATTTCACTGCTGCACTGGCGACGGGAATCCGATAACCCGGACCGATATCCGTACAACACTTAGTTGTGCAACAGTCTGAATGTAACAGTGAAGCGAGCCGGTTCTCATATCGTACCTCGTAACTGAAAAGTGCCTAACTCGTGTCGTGTACTGATTACCAATATCTTTCGGAAAGTGCATAGTAACAACCTAAATTCCACTGATTTACGATAATCCTCAAATACCGACCATGCGGCCAAGCCGAGGGCGAAATAATCCGCCCAAGGCTCCGCTCGACTTCCTCAAAACGTCGGAAACTTCAAGNATT